ATAAGGAGAATAGGGATTACAAAGAATGAACAATGGACTTGTAAAGAACATGGAGAATATGACAAAGAATGTAGAAAACATGTAAGTGAAGGTGAAAAAACGAAGTGATCTTGTGAGGAACATGAACTTGTAGAGGAACATGAATATTGCAAAAGAACACAAAATATGGAAGTTAGCATGAATATTGAGTATAAAAGTTGTAAAGAGAACATGTGATGAACATGAAAACATAGAAAATATGACTAGAATTTGTAGAGAAAGTAATGAGACTAAGAGAAAGATTACAGAAAAAATGGAGATACTTGTGAAAATATGAACTGAATGGGACTGTGAACATTTGAAGAACATGGAGTGAACACAGAAAACATGGACAAAATGTGAAGAACACAGCTGAATATAGAGAAAATATGCAAATACAGTATGATTATTGAAGGTTTTGATACGTTGGGGATTGATATGTTGGGGATGAGAAGGGTAAAGTAATTACTCAGATAAACAGATAGGCTGGAGAGGGACTTGATCGAATATATTTATGTCTGATGATCTAAGGCTGAGGAAATGGAGCTTTGCTAATGTCCAGATTAATTTTACTACGTTAGAAAATAAGGTGATCTTAAATCTCAGGTGATTTAGTTGGAAAATAAAGAACTTGCACAAATGAACTAAGCTGGGGCACAAGAGTTGAAACTTGATAACTGAACTGGTTTTTATTTACTATGTCTGAAAATGTAGTTGGGTGATTTGGACTGAGAGTAATGAATTTACAGGAGTGAACTTGGACAGAGGACAAGAGCTAGAGTTTTATAATTGTTTTCATCATATTTACTATGTCTGAAATACAGAGGGTAAAAATTTCAGGGAAATTGATGGGTTATTTACAAAGATACGAAAGAGAATTAAGGCGGGGACGAGAGCTGGAGCTCGATAACTGACTTGATTTTATTTACGGTGTCTGAAATACAGAGGGTAAAATTTAAGGGAAATTGATGGTTTATTTACAAAGACTTGAGGGTGGAAGAGGGTGGGGGACGAGAGCTGGAGCTCAGTAACTGACTTGATCTTATTTACTAACTTTGAAGTATGTCTGCTTTTAATTTTAGGGAAATTGATGGGTTATTTACAAAGATACGAAAGAGAATTAAGGCGGGGACGAGAGCTGGAGCTCGATAACTGACTTGATTTTATTTACGGTGTCTGAAATACAGAGGGTAGAAATTTCAGGGGAATTGGACTGATACTAACGAAGATACGAGAGAGAGCTAAGGCGGAGGACAAGAGCTGGAGCTTGGTAACTAATTACTGTATTGAACTACATTTGAAATATGATTATTTTTAAATTTTAGAGGGATTGGAATGATAGTATTCTTTATACGACAGGGGACTAAGGTGGGGAACGTGAGCTAGAACTTGCTTGCTTACTAACATGATTTATTTGTGTAAAACTGACTTGCTTAATGAAAAGGAGCAAACATACTGACTTGCTTAATGAAAAGGAGCAAACATACGATGTTGGAAAATAGTTGAACTGAATGAAACGAGAGAGAGAGAGAGAGGAGGGACGGTTGAGATATTATGAGAAGATAACATAAGATAAGAGGTCTGGCTGTCCGGGCGTAAAGTAAACACAGGTGAGGCGACAGATTGCGAGGTAAGGGGGGAGGGAGGGGGGTGTGATGTACGAAACCCTGAAAACAATGACTTACACAGGTGATTTTCTAAATTTATATGAATAACTAAGGCTTACATAGACGATTTTGTAAGTTGAAAACATGTAAATATGTCCGTAGAGTTCTCCTGGAAGCCCTAAAGAGCTACATACGTTATTTGAATTTCTCCCATAAGGCTTTAACAAACTTCTAAGTCTCGGAAATTATTTTTCTCATAAGAAATCCTTACTTCTAAAATCTGCGACTGACAAAATTTACCTGAAACCCTTGGGGCCCACAGGGGATTTTCTAAATTTACCTGAAACCCTTGGGGCGCAAAGGGGATATTTGACCTGAAAAAAAATGGGGACCTGTGGCGCTTACACCCCACAGGGGTCCTCTGGCAAAAAAAAAAAAAATGGGGACCTGTGGCGCTTACACCCCACAGGGGTCCTCTGGCAAAAAAAAAAATGGGGACCTGTGGCGCTTACACCCTACTACTCCCCCCCCCACAGAGGCTGCTGCAGGGGCCCCCCACAGATGCTGCTGCAAGGCCCCCACAGAGACTGCTGCAAGGCCCCCCACAGAGACTGCTGCAGGGCCCCCCCCCCCCACAGAGGCTGCTGCAGGGCCCCCACAGAGGCTGCTGCCCCCCCACAGAGGCTGCTGCAGGGCCCCCACAGAGACTGCTGCAGGCCCCCCTCACAGAGGCTGCTGCAGGGCCCCACAGAGGCTGCTGCAGGGCCCCACAGAGGCTGCTGCAGGCCCCCCCACAGAGGCTGCTGCAGGGACGCCCCCCCCCACAGAGGCTGCTGCACAGAGGCTGCTGCAGGGAGGCTGCCCCCCCCCCACAGAGGCTGCTGCAGGCGCCCCCCCCCCACAGTGGCAGCTGCAGGGACGCCCCCCTGCTGCAGGGCCCCCACAGAGGCTGCTGCAGGCCCCCCCCCCCTGCTGCAGGCCCCCCCCCCACAGAGGCTGCTGCAGGGCCCCCACAGAGGCTGCTGCAGGGCCCCCACAGAGGCTGCTGCAGGGCCCCCCCCCACAGAGGCTGCTGCAGGGCCCCCATAGAGACTGCTGCAGGGCCCCCACAGAGGCTGCTACAGGGCCCCCCCCCACAGAGACTGCTGCAGGGCCCCCACAGAGGCTGCTGCAGGCCCCCCCCCCACAGAGGCTGCTGCAGGGCCCCCACAGAGGCTGCTGCAGCCCCCCCCCAGTGGCTGCTGCAGGGCCCCCACAGTGGCTGCTGCAGGGCCCCCACAGTGGCTGCTGCAGGGCCCCCACAGAGGCTGCTGCAGGCCCCCCCCCCCACACACAGAGGCTGCTGCACGGCCCCCACACTGCCCCCACCCCCCACAACAGCCCACCACAAGGCTACAGTAGGACCCACACTGCGTCCCACCACACAGACTGTGCCGGGACTCTCCCTCCTCCACCATAGCAACCCGCCATTAACCAAATATTACACTCCAAACTGAATTTTCTACACTAACCTTGAGCCAATTTGTGGATGAATATCTTAACCGTTTCTGGTCTTTGTGATTTGTGGTGTTGAAGGGTCTCCCAGCGACTAGTACTCACCTGAGTGTGCCTACTGGCTCAAGCACACCAAGCAGGTCTTAGTTTAATGCAACATTCTCTGAACACCTTGTTCTTTTAATTGTAATTAAGGTTTTGTAACTACAGTGGTTAGCTTTAACTACTTCGTATAAACCATTCCACTTGACAATTCTAAAACTGATGGAAGTGCCTTTTGATATCCCCGTGACTCATCTGTGTATAATTTCCCTATCTGCCCCTCGTTCTGCTGTTCCTCGCTATGAATATTACTTTTTTTGTCAATCTTATCTATTTCCATTATTATCTTATATGTTGTCGTGGCAGACTTATTTTTCCTCTCCTGTGTCGTGAGATGTAGTTTCCTTAGTCTTGCTGATGGGTTCCGTCCCTCAAATCTGGAATGATCCTTGTTGTATATCTTTGAATTGTTCTAGCCTAGTCATGTGCCTTTTCAGATGGTGGGTTTCCACACTGGGGTTCCATGCTCAAGAAGGGGCCTCACATATGCTAAAAATGGCACCCGAAAGGCTTCCTTTTCCACAATCCCTGAAGGCTTCACGGACATTGGCTAGTTTTGTATATATACTTCTGACGTTCTGGGTGTTTACCCCATGCTCTTTTGACGTTTTCTGATGCAGATCTTCATTCTATATTGCGTTATGGGTCTCCTTTCTCCTGTTCATATTTTCATAACTTTGCATTTGGCTGAGTTAAAGTCTAACAGCCATTTCTTAGACCACCTCTGGAGGTGTCAAAATTTCTTTAATGGTAGACCGTCTGTTTGTTCTGCATCATCTGCTAAGACTGTAATGAAGGATCCAAAGACGGGTCTCAGGACCATCATGCAAATGTACGTATATGTGTGTTGTAATGCTGCTGCTGTTTATATGCCCCCACCCTCTTCTCACACTACTCTCCCCTCCACTCCTTCCCCCTCCTCTTCCTTCCACTCCTTCCCCCACCTCTTCCCTCCACTCCTTCCCCTTCCTCTTTTCACTCCTCCCACTTTTCTCACTCTACTCTCCCCTCCACTCCTTCCCTCTCCTCTTCCCACCTCACCCCCTTTCTCTTCCCACCCCTCTAGCCCTTCCCCATTCTTCCTCTTTCCCTCTCCGTCCTCCCCCCCATCTTTTCCCTTGTCCTCTTCTTTTATCTTCCCTCTCACCCCCTCTCCCCTCATTTTACATCTTCACTTTATATATCATCATCACCATAACCATATTAACAACTCTCTTAATCTTCCCTACTCAATATCTTCATCACTATAAGCCGAATTAATTCATTTCATAATTTTTGAGTAAATCATGATCAAAATGTGTGTAAACGTCATGAGAAAACTCCACGGAAAACAAATCCGCGATTTCATTTCAGACTTCATGAAAATTGCACTAGATGTTTAGGGTTAGATTCTGATTTTTTTATTTTCTTAAAAGTATTTAACTTTAGCCAATCCTACCCAGCCTATGTCTGTCCCAAGCCCCAGACAATTTCCCCTGCATAAGTTGGGTGAGGCTAACTCCTAGCACTTGGCCTCCAACCTTAGCCAGACTCTGACAGATAAACAGACAAAAAACATTTTTATAGATTGAGGAGGGTTATATGAAATGAAGAATTTATTCCACATAAGGGGAAACAGAACAAGGTGGAAGTTGGAAACATAAAATACAACAAAATAAATTACTAAACAGTAAACAATTGGGTTACTAGATTGGACATTAGAACGTTTGAAGGAATAACTGCACCAGGTACCCAAGAGCTAAACTTCACTCCCTGTAGATATTATAGTACTGTACTCACCATCCAGGTAGATCTCACTCTCCAGCTGCTTATCCATCCAAAAGAGGGAAGCGATAGGTCCTGTCACCAAAAAAGAAATTTAAAATCTGCCGCTTGACATATCTGATAAACATTAAGCAAAATTCAATACACAGTACACGTTTAGTCCATAAATTTAAAATGAGTTTAATATATAAAGGTACAGTGCCTTATATTTTCCATCCAAATCATAAGAAGTGCAGAAATTTAATGATGAATTTGCAATAACTGGAAGGTTGCATTAACTCAAAAAAGCAACATTTCTGTGGGAGCCCCGGTGGCTTCCTGGAGCTACTATTTGCTGAATGGTACCATCTACCAGGTCGCATCAGCCGCGGAGTTCTATAGACCTACTGAGGACCAGCACCAGAACCTGGCCTACTGACAGAGGCACAGGGGGTGATGACATTTATTGACATCGTCTCACCACGGAAGGCAATCAGAAAGTCAGCGAGTCGAGTCGGAAGAAAACATTGCTGGCTTAAATGGAGACCGAAGCCTCGAACCTCGCCTAAATAACGCCTAAATAACTCCCCTCCAACTATATAAACAAATGATCAAATTCTATCGGAACTAGCGCGAGCTTGTTCACCCCATCTCCCCCACTCAACCCGTCCTCGACTCAAGTCCATTACATCCAGCGGTCGCATTCATACATTTTAACATGCTGTTCATTCAAAATGGGAATTTTCTCAAATATAAATTAATATTATAATATATTAGCATCTTGTACATATATAGGCATAGGTTAGGTTAGGTGTTTAGGTTCTGTTGGCGATTATTTGTATTTGTAGTACGTGGGTGAAGCATTTACAGCATTGTGGTTTGAACAAAATTCGTCAGCGAAGCACTTGTTCCAGAAGTGTTCGAACGTCATCAGTTGTGAGTCGTGTGTAAACTGTTTTTCATTCATAAACAGGGGGTTTGGCGGGTGCATGGAATCACATTTGGGTCTTTGTTTGGAGGACGGGCTGCCCCCACTTGTGGGGTGGATGGGTGGAGAGCTCACCACCAGGCAGGGTTCGAGCTCCCAGTTCTAAAGCATATGCAGGCATCCACTTTGCCTGCATATGTCAGGGAGCCTGACAGCTGAGTGGACAGTGCTTCGGGTTCGTAGTCCTGAAGTTCCGGATTCGATCCCCGGTAGAGGCGGAGACAAATGGGCAACAAGTTTCTTTCACCCTGATGCCCCTGTTACCTAGCAGTAAATGGGTACCTGGGCGTTAGACAGCTGCTACGGGCTGCTTTCTGGGGGGTGTAACAAAAAGGAGGCCTGGTCGCGGGGACGCTAAGCCCCGAAATCCTCTCAAGATAACCTCAAGATAAGATCCACCTGACGACCAGAGAGGGTCGTCGGATCCCAGAGGGCTGGGATCTGGGAGCCACCGGAGCTCACCCAGATATTGGCAATTCATTACAATAAATAGTGGGGGAAGCCCTTTGTGGCTTCCTACAGAGAAGGAAAACACACTAAGGAGAAGGAAGCACCGCATGAGACATGCCGAAGGAAAGACCCCAGGCAAAAGACATGACCCAAAGCCACACAAGGGCGCCGAGGCCCAGAAATATTTACCAGACACTGGGCCGCCAAAACCCTATTCGACTTTCAATACTCCTGCACCTGAATATCAGCCCAGGGCATGTTCGTGAATGCCGCTGAAAGAGGGGCATATCTCCTAACATAAAAGATACGAGGATAGATCGAAGCCTGGCTAGACCCAAAAACAATGCGGATGACTCAGCAAAGACAAGCCTTGGCACAGGAGGCCAAGGAAATGGGATTGGCCCATAAGGCATCTACTGAAGCAGAATCAGTGGTACGAAGGTAATGGCAGAGAGCTTGCCACCAGACACCGCACCTGGTGCACCCCCCAGCCGAACAAGCTAAGTATCAATGACCAAACGACCCCCTCCTGAAGCCAACCAACTCATTCTTCACTAGAAAAGATGGAACTAGCTGCAACAACTTATAGAAATAAACATGGCCTAAGAGTTACATTGTAAAACAAGAAGAAGAGAGAAGATGATCTAGAGACCAAGCAGGCCGGAGGTGAAAATAAAGAGCGAGACTGCTTGCGAAACAGAGCCAAGGCCGCATTGACCCCAAACACAAGCTGCAGCATCTCTGCCAGCACTGCAAGATATGAGGTGACAGTGTTTGGCACAAGATGCCGATCAAGAAGAAGCCAAGAAAAAATAGAGTATAATTGCACGGAAAATGAAGAACAACAATGAAGGTGGGAAACCATAAAAGAAGGCACTTGCCCTCCGGAAAGATGGTGATAAAGATTCGTCACAAAGTTCAGACGCGAAGTGCAGAGAAGGTCGAACCACTGAAGTACGTCACTGGGCCGACCTTCTTATAGAGGGTAGGGAATTATCAAGGGGAAAGTGCCAAGCCATTAAGACTATACAGCACTTGGAAGGGGTCAGGATAAGGATTTGGGATGGGACGGGGGGAAGGAACAGTGCCCAACAACTTGGACGGTCGGGGATTGAACGCCAACCTGCATGAAGCGAGACCGTCACTTTACCATCCAGCGCAAGTGGCTGGACAGGCAGAGGAGCGGAAAACCGCCAGGTTTGGACACAGCAAGTATAGCACCTAAAACCATAACTGAACTGGACACCAGGGACCCAGAAGGATCACCCTCCCCTGGTAGGGCTCCAACCCGGCCAGGACCCAGAGTAGCAGTCCCTGGGTACAGGATCCTCGATCTCGACCAGTCCGGCCGAAAGGCATCCACCATGAGGGGCCTCATAATCAAGGAATGGAGCCACATACAAAGTAACATGTTATTCTTACATTCATCCTATTCTTACCTTATTCTTACATTCATCCTATTTTTACCTTATTTTTACATTCATTATCTTCTGACCTTATTTTTACATTCCTCCTATTCTTACATTCATCCTTTTCTTCCTTTTTCTTATGGAAAATACTGGAAGGCCAGGTCCCTAATCTACACAGTAAAATAACAACGTACTGGAGTGAACGATATGGAAGAAAATGCAGAATAGAACCAGTGAAGAGCAGAGGTGCCATAGGCACAATCAGAGAACACTGTATAAACATCAGAGGTCCGTGGCTGTTCAACGTCCTCCCAGCGACTATAAGAAATATTGCCGGAACAACAGTGGACATCTTCAAGAGAAAACTAGACTGTTTACTAAAAGACGTTCGGGACCAACCGGGCTGTGGTGGGTATGTGGGCCAGCGGGCCTCTCCAAGCAACAGCCTGGTGGACAAAACTTTCACAAGTCAAGCCTGGCCTCGGGCCGGGCTTGGGGGGTAGAAGAACTCCCAGAACCCCATCAAGCAGGTATCAAGCAGACCAAGGAGCAAGGAATGAACTGGTTCAGCTGCAAAAGAGCGAAGATCAACTGGAAGTCCTGTGGATCTCTTTTTCACGATCGAGAAGAGGTGGTAACCCAACTCAAGTGATGAAGTTATTTTACACATGCCAGAAGCCACCCACTCATAGATGACTCGATGTAGGTGAGGAAAGAAAGCCTGCCCGGAAAGACCCGAACCCCCCAGAAGGGCGAGAAACAACTAACCCTACCACGGGCCGTGGGAAACGACCAGAAAAAGAAAAAAACAGGAATCGTGGGGCCAAGAGATTGCAAAGTGGGTGAGCCACTCACCCACCAACCTGTCAAAGGGGCAAACTGCAAAAAGGGCCGGATTGAACACAAGAGGCCGATACCTTCCGAAAAAAGTTAGCACGGCGCTGATCAGATGGAGAACAACCTGGCATCTGACACCACATTTGGCGCTCCTGGGATAGAAAAGCATTCCCATAGAGAGGCTTCAAAGGAAGAAAGGACTGGCTGAAAGGAAAACCCAGAAACCTCAGCAGGACTAGCATGCTCAACTGTCTCCACACCCGATTTGGAAGGGGCAACCAATCCGATTCTGAACCTGCAAGGGACTTCTAATGCCTGAAGGGTAAACCTAAGCAGGGCAAACTGGCACTGGGATCATTATGCTAGACCTAAAAGTAAGCCGACACAGCCTGGGCGATATGGTTGTGATGGCCGACCTTGACGTGCTGAGAGACGCAAATGAACCATCATTTCACCTTTCCAGCCAAAGTCGCCCCTGACATGAGTTAAGACAGGAACGTCCCAAGACACCTGACTCACACTGTGTGAGGGTCACCACAAGCGAGGGGAACCTGTAAGGGAAACCAGAGAAGATAACCCTGGTAATGCAAGGGCAGCACTATGGAGCACACCACAAAGGTAACCCTGCACACATGCAGCTCCAAGCACACTCAAAACGTGGCTCATGCTACACTGCAGATTACGGGAAATGCCACCAAGGGGCAAACACCATCACTTAACAGAAAAAGCAGAACACCAGAGTCAACATGGAAGAGAGGCAACCTGGTACCCACTTTATCAGCTTCAGAACTGGGATCTGATATCCCGGCTGGCATTGAGCTACTACCCCCTCCCACGAAACAAGTTGGGAAGGTGGAGCGAATGAACTCGCGCTAGTTCTAAAAGAACTTGATCGTTTGTTTACATAGCTGGAGGAAGTTTTTTAGGTAGGTTTCGAGGCTTTCATCTCTTTTTGGTTGATTTTCCCAGTGAGGTGACGTAAATGAATGTCACCACTCCCTGCACCTCTATGAGTGGACCAGGTTCTGGCGCTGGTCCCCGGCAGACCTATAGAACTCCATGGCTGATGCGACCTAGTGGATGGTATCATCTCAGCATATAATAGTTTCAGGGAGTCACAAGGCGGTTTTCCCCAAGAAAATTTGGCAAAGGGAAGCGAGACTTGATACAACAGAAAGAAAAGCAAGTTATGGCAGAGTTGAGTGTAACAGCTGAATAAGATGAGTTAAGGCAGAGTAAGGTGAGTTATATCAGGGTAGGGTGAGTTTTGTCAGAATGGTGAGTTAAATTAGCAAAGGGTGAGGCAGGTCAGTGTGGGGTGAACTTTGTCAAAAGTAGGGTGAGATTTATAAGAGCATAGGATCCAAGCTGTAGCAGAGTAGGGTGAGAATTATATTATAGTGTTATAATAATACCAGGGCAAGATGAGACATATATCAAGGCATGATTAGAGCTATGTCAGCACAGAGTGAGTGTTATGTTCATATAGCAAGAGAGGTATACACATCACAGTACAGTGGTAGATATAGCAGTGTAGTAATATTTATAGGCAAATTAGGGGTGAGAATTATGCCACTGCAGAGTGAGAGTTATGTCAGTGTGGTGAGAGTCATGTAAGCATAGGGTGAGAATCACCACAGAGTGGGAATTACGTCGGTGTAAACTGCAACAGTGTTATGTTAGTATTAGGAAGGATGCCAGAGATACACTGACAGATGTGTGGTCGAGGTAGTTATGCCACAGTGAGACCAGCTTCTCAGTTGAACCATGTTAAGAGTTGTCTCTCTGAGTTACATCAGTGAGAGTTGTATGAGCAAGTTATTTAAGTGATTGTTGCATTAGTGAGTTGTATGAGTTAGTCAAGAGATTGTTGAATCAGTTAGAGTTGTATGAGTTAGTTATGCAGTTGATTGTTGCATCAGTGAGAGGCGTATGAGTTAGTCAAGTGATTGTTGCATCATAGTTGTATGAGTTAATTATGCAGGTGATTGTTGCATCAGAGAGAGTTGAACGGGCAAATTAAGTGATTGTTGCACTAGTGGGAGTTGTATGAGTTAGTTAGGCAGGTGATTGTTGCATCAATGAGTTGTATGAGTGAGTTATACAAGTGATTGTTGCATCAGTGAGAGTTGATGAGTTAGTCATGAAGATGATTGTTGCATCAGTGAGAGAGCTTAGTGAGTGAGATGAATGAGAGAGAACTGTTGTAGTGAGGAGGTACATGAGAGACAGGTGGATGAGTGAGCAGCATGAATGCGAGAGTGTACTCACCTGGGTCAGCCAAGCCAGTGGTCTCCAGGAGGATGTAGTCAAACTTGCCTCTTTTCTTCATCAAGTTCTCGATGGCCTTGACACCGTTATCTCTGACAAAATAATGATCATAATGATAATAAACTATTCAGAACATAACCAGCCTTGATACCGTTGGTTAGACTCAAGTGGTGAGATTATATCTAAAGTACTGTATTTTATACAGTGCTTCAGCTCTATACAAATACAGTACTGTATTCATTGAATATACAGTGTATACAAATTCCTTCAGCACAGGGACACTGGTCATTCAGCGGTCATGAGGCAAGTGAAGCTTCACTCCAATGTAGAGCAAAAATATAAATTTACTAACATACAGTACTGCATGATGTTTATTTCCAACTCTACAGCTGTATTAAAACTTGATTTTTATATTATGTGTTAAAATATTATAAGTCCATTTTGTATTGCTTTAGGTAAAAAACCAGCATTGAATGTAATGAAACAACATTTTCAGGGTGAGCCCCAGAGGCTCCCTGCACCTGTCGTACTAATATGCATTTCATTAGATTAGGGTATTAGTCATAGGAGTTCAGCCTACCGGGGACCACGAGCCAGAACATGGCTCCCCTCAGAGAGGCACAGTGAGCACTGGTCCTGGAAAACCCTGAGTCATTTCTTGCCAGGCATTGTCAATGAGTTTTAAAGCAACAGCCTAGTGGACCAAACTCTCACAAGTCAAGCCTGGCCTCGGGCCGGGCTTGGGGAATAGAAGAACTCCCAGAACCCCATCAACCAGGTATCAACCAGGTATCAGTACAAATGTTAAAATGGTTTTTCCAGAACTCTTTGAGGGTGAGGTTTGTGGCATCAGTCACTTCAAAACATTTCCGGAAAAAGTGCCTTTTATAAAGTTTCTTAAAATTCGCAATGATTTTCTGGTCCATAGGCTGAATTAGAGTGGTGTTAGGAGGAAGGAACTTCCTGTGACAATTGTGACAAAATTGTGACAAAATTAAATTTGTCCAACAATGCATTTTCCTAGCCTGGAGGATAAGCAGGAGCATTGTCGAGGAAAAGCAGGGCCTTGAGTGGCGAACTTTTCTCCTGCAAATATTTTTGTATGGAAGGGCAAACCACCTCATTCACCCACTCCGTAAAAAATAGCCTAGTCACCCATGCCTTACTATTAGCCCTCTACATCACATATATTTGGCTTTTCTGCACATTATATTTTTTGAAAAACTCTTGGATTTTCAGAATGATACACAAGCAAGGGTTTAATTTTCAAATTATCACTCGCATTTCCACACAGCACAAGAGTACACCTATCTTTCATGGGCTTGTGTCCAGGCAATGACTTCTCCTCCTGGGTAATATATATCCTCTTAGGCAATCCTTTCCAGAATAGTCCTGTCTCATCACAATTAAACACTTGTTGCGGTAGGTATCCCTCACTCTCTACAAAATCTTTAAATTCTTCAATAAATTTTTCAGCCACTGGTTTGTCTGAGCTGGCAGCCTCCCCATGCCTCACAACATTATGAATACCACTTCTTTTTCTAAATTTTTCAAACCATCCCCTGTTTGCCTTAAAGTCTTACGTATCTGCACTCGTTCCAGGGGGTTTTCTTTACAAGGTCTTCGTGCAATACCCCTGGCTTTCTCACAAATGATGGCCTCTGAAATGGTATCACCTGCTAACTCTTTGTTGTATATCCAAATTAATAACAACTTTTCAACATCCTCACGTATTTGTGTTCTTTATTTCGTGATTGTTGATACGCCTTTTGCCGCTTTAGCACTCAAAATGTCCTTTTTCTTGGCAAGTACAGTGCATATCGTTGACATGGATTTGTTGTACTGACTAGCTAGTTCAACAACACGATTACCATTTTCATGTTTACGAATGATCTCTTGTTTTTCCTCTATGGTCATTCTTACATGTGTATTCTTGCCTTGAACCTTACCACTGGCTTTCTTGGGACCCATGGCGAGATATATAATAATAACTTTAATGCTCAAATAGCCAAAAATAAAAAAATAAAAAACTGTAAATCCTTGCAAAAAATTCAGGCAGGATAGTCACTTGGTGGGAGGCACTAGTAAACTGAAGTGCGATCACTGTGCCACCACACGCTAGGTCGGGCATACATGTATCAACAAACTCATATCCCGAGGTAAAGTTCGTAACCCGATTCAAATTTTCCGACGAAATCGAGCTCGTATCCCAAAAAGTTTGTAAAGAGGGGCATTCGTAAATCGAGGTATCACTGTACAATGGAACCTCAGTTCTCATATGCCCCTGTTCTCGTATTCAATTTCTCCGAAAAATTTGATTTGGTACTCATTGTTTGTCTTGGTTTTGGGAGTTTGTTCATACACGTACGGGTCCACAGCAAGCGTGGAGCTTCAGTTACCAGTGTCTCCCACCTAGTATCATCATGCTTGAATTCTTTGTGAAGAATTTCATTGTTTTTGTGCTTTTTTGGTTTCTGAACATAAAAGTTCTTATTATATATCATGCCATGGGTTCCAAGAAAGTCAGTGGTAATGTTCAACCTAAGAAAATAGTTGTGAGGATAACGATAGAGGAAAAACAAGAGATCATTCATAGTGAGACAATGTGATGTCTCACTACAGACTAGTGTTAAAACATAAGGAAAAAAAGTGTCTATAGACAGATTCTTAGTAAGACAAACAAGCAGTGAGCCACAACCAGGTCATAGTGGTATGCCTGCAAAACGTAAGAGAGAGAGTACCCCAGAAATGTCATCACTGCTGTTATAATGGCAGGGGACTCCCCTTCCAAACACTAACACCTCACCTCCCCCCCCCCTTCCTCATTGTCTTCCATACGCCAACAAGAATCCTCAATAAAGATTTGGTACCTAAGAGTATTTGGTACCTAAGTCCTGTTCCACAGGAATAACTTCACCTCCAGCCATTACAGTTATAACTTCAATAATTCATTCTGTTGGAGGAGAGGAAGCCAGAGTGTATTCATACATGTTAGGTTTATATCGAGGTCTCCTCCAAAGTAGAATTACTGATTCCCCCCTGGATGCAACCCCACAACAAGCTGACAAGCTGAGTACCTGACAGCTGAAGGAACAGCACTTCGGTATCGTAGTCCTGAGATTCTGGGTTCAATCCACAGTGGAGGCGGAGACAAATGGTCAAAATGTTTCTTTCACTCTGATACCCCTGTTACCTAGCAGTAAATAGGTACCTGGGAGTTAGACAGCTGCTACAGGCTCCTTCCTGGGGGAGGGGGGTGTAACAAAAAGGAGGCCTGGTCGAGGATCGGGCTGTGGGGACACTAAGCCCCGAAATTATCTCAAGATAACCTACTTACTGCTAGGTGAAGAGAGGCATTAGATGAAAGAAAATGTGCCCCATCCATTTCTGTTCCGCCAGGGATTTGAACCCGGAATTCTTGATTGTGTGTCGAGAACGAACCCGACTGTACTACTGGGACCCAACCCGACTGTACTTCATGAAGAATATGCAACTTCAAGAGTATGATATGGTTTTAAGAAATAAAGTTTTCTAAAATAAACTGAATAATCTTTAACCTTTCTTGCTAAATAAGAAATATATATAATTGCAACTAATGCAAAATGTTTTAGGTTAATGGTTGTCACCCAGACTATAAGGATTATCCTCTGGCACCATGACATACTAAATGTGCAAAAAGTTTGGCCAGCTTTATTTGTTTTTGTTTTTGAGGTGTCATTCAAGAAACTCTATGCATACTTCTCTAATGCTCTCTCTGTTTTCTTTTAAATAGTTGTAACAGCTACCACTAAGGGATTACATGGTCCAGTAACAATAGGGATCATCTTTACATCATCATACATCAGTCTTGAAGGTTTCAAGCAAGTATGTAGCGGTAATGCACGGACCTTCAGATACAAATTATAAGAAAATTCACTTTTGTAAACAGAGTGGTAGACAGTTGGAACAAGTTAGGTGAGAAGGTGGTGGAGGCCAAAACCTTCAGTAATTTCAAAGTGTTTTATGACAGAGTGCTGGGAAGACGGGACACCACGAGCGTAGCTCTCATCCTGTAACTACACTTAGGTAATTACACTTAGGTAATTACAAAAGAAATCTCAATTTAATTCATATCCTATGTAACTGAGCTGAGTGAGACAAATGGCTACAATCTTATCATTGATAAAAAATTTATAGCTACTTGTTACATGGCATTTATGAAATGATTTCTTGGTGATAGCAATAATCAATTCTATCAGTGATCAGTAATCATTATGGGTTCAAAGGGAATTTCTTAACTATGGACACCATAAATATATTTCTTGCACAAAGGTGTATCAGTGACCACCACACAAAGGTGTATCAGTGACCACCACACAAAGGTGTATCAGCGACCCCCACACAAAGGTGTATCAGCGACCACCACACAAAGGTGTATCAGCGACCACCACACAAAGGTATGTCAGTGACCATCACACAAGGGTATGTCAGCGACTGCCACACGAAGGTTGTGGTCGCTGTGGTCGAAGAGGAGAGGGGTTATGGTGTGGAAGGAGAATTCACCTGTTGAGTCAGGCAGGTTCTCTCTTCTTGGGAATTTCATCCCACTGGGACCGGGTTGTGGTTCATTATCACTTGCTCGTCTTTTCTTTACCTTTCCAAAGAACATAGCTATTGACAATTGCTTTTGTCTTCGTTTTAGGATATCCCTAAAACGAGACATCAAATTGTCATTAAACATGTTCACACACCGTGTTGTCACTGCTTTATCAGGGTGATACTTTTCCAAGAATGCGGTCACCTTTTCAAACATTCTCAACACTTCCCTGATCTCACTGGAAGAGGCGGCATCCTCCCTTACCTCTTCCTCCTCCCCTGATGAGAGCTCTTGTACCTCCTCTTGATTCAGCTCTGCTGAAGTTCCAGGAGTTTTTCAGTGGTCAGTTCATCACTGTGCTCCTCTACTAACTCCTGCACATCAGTAGCATCCAACTCCAGACCCAAAGTTTGCCCCCAAGAGAGACAATATCATCCACTAGATGCACTTCTGGATCGTCCACAAATGCAGGTGCAGGTGCATGATCGAAACCTTCAAAGTCTCGCTCAGGGACACCCTCAACCCACAGGTTTCACCATGCACAGTTTAGGGTCCTCCGTGTCACTCCTTCCCAGGCCTTATCGATCAAACGTAAGACACCCAAAGTATTGAAGTGGTCCTTCCAGAATTCTTTGAGGGTCAGCTCTGTAGTGTCAATCTCATCAACACACCTCTCCAACAAGGCCTTCATGTAGAGCTTCTTAAAGTTGGCAATGACTTTCTGGTCCATGGATTGGAGGAGTGGAGTGGTATTGGGAGGAAGAAACTTAATGGTGATGAACTGATTTTCTGGAAACAAATCATCTTGCATCTGTGGAGGATGTGCAGGAGCATTATCAAGCACAAGAAAGGCCTTGAGTGGTAATTGCTTCTCTTCAAGATATTTCCTCACTGAGGGGCCAAAAACGTCATTGACCCATTCACTGAAAAATATCCGAGTGACCCAGGATTTCTTATTGGACCTCCACATCACATTCAGTTGTGTCTTGTGCACTTTACACGCCTTGAACACTTGAGCATTTTCTGAGTGGTAGACGAGCACCGGCTTGACCTTGCAATTGCCACTTGCATTGGTACAGAGCATGAGGGGTAAGCCGATTCTTCTTCGGTTGATGGCCAGGTAAAAATTTTTCCTCTTGCGTGATGTAGGTCCTCTTCGTCATTTTCTTCTAAAATAGGCCAGTCTCGTCACAATTAAAAACTTGTTGGGGCAAGAACTCCTCTCTAGCAATGAATTCCTGGAACTCTGGTACAAATTTCACGGCAGTAGCCTTATCGGAGCTGGCAGCCTCCCCATGTCGCACAACACTATGTACTAGTATACCGTTCTCTTCCTAAATTTCTCAAACCATCCTCGGCTTGCCTTAAATATCCCCTCATCTTCAGACGACACGCCTGGTGTATTCCTGACAAGGTCCACATACAGCACCTATGCCTTAGCACAAACAATAGCTTCAGAGACACTATCACCATGTAATTGCCTTTCATTCATCCAAATCAATGGTACCTTTTCAACATCATCTGGGATTTTTTGGACATTTCTTGGTAACCTTGGTAACTCTTTTACCCATTTCAAGCTTCTTAAATTATTCCTTCCTCTTCAAGATGGTGCAAATTGTTGATGAGGACCTGCCATACTCCATGGCGAGATCAGTTACACGGACACCATTTTCGTGCTTTGCTATGATTTCCTTCTTCAAATCTACAGTTATTGTGTCTTTCTTCCTCTTGACAACACTTATCCTTAGCAAGCAACTTTTTTGGCAACATCGTGGGTTACAAATTGTAGTCACAAAACCACAATAATACCAAAGAAAAGCACAAATATATGTAGAGGGATGCTTGTCCTGCGCAATACAACAACAACACTATCGTTGGAGGCGTCCAAGAATTTGCGAGAACCAACGGAAACACTAGGAAGCACCATGTGGTTTTCTTGTTAATCAAAAGTAAGCTCGTCAATCGAGACAACTTTTTTGCGAGTGGCTCGCTCGTTACTTGAAATGCTCATAGATAGAGCTGCTCGCCACTCTAGGTTTCACTGTGAATTTAATAAAATAATCACTTGTAGATTTTCCCCACAAATACATAGCAGGCTTTGGAAACCTGGACCATATAGTAGATGATTTAAACCTTATAAATGGAATTAAGAAAACAGGTTATTTAAAGAAATAAAAGGGTTATGCATGATGAGGCAAATGTTAGGCAAGATGAATGGAGGAAAATGAAAACGGTATCAACCAATAAAGTCATCACCAGAAAAGCCTGGCTTTGGGTCAGGTTTTAGGAGTAGAATAACTTTTAAAACCAGCCACAGGTAAACTCTTCACCTGCTCACACTTCTCTTTGCCTTTGCTTACTACCTGTGACTCTTCATCCTCTTTTAAACTTATTTATTTGATTATTCATTTCCTTTCCACATTTGATGCCACACCAGCCATGAAATCTTAATATGGGTGTTTAAGAGCTTCCCAACCAATGTATTGTGCTATCTTGATTACTTATCTTGAGGGTCCCTGAGATTGGCTTTGTGCGTCGTGGACACCGAATGCTGTCAGCAAACTATCAAGGCCAGATAATGGAATGGGATTGTACATCTTAAATCACTGTGATAACATTCATCCGTTGTGGTTACTACGCATGTAGTCCTGTTTTGTATACAGTAAATTATCACAGCTGATATTGTATGTTTCCAGTAGGTTTTGACATATTGTGACTATCCTTTGAGCTCACTTCAGCCAAACAGCACTATGAAGAAGGACTTCATCTTGGAGCTCACTTCAGCCAAACAGCACTATGAAGAAGGACTTCATCTTGGAGCTCACTTCAGCCAAACAGCACTATGAAGAAGGACTTCATCTTGGAGCTCACTTCAACCAAACAGCACTATGAAAAAGGAGTTCATCTTAAAGCTCACTTCAACCAAATGCCCAGGCAGATGTGGCATAGGAGTGGTAGCTGGGGGGAGGGGGACCTGAGGATCTAGGGGTGTGTGGGAGGGTCCGGGGATGCATTAGAGAGGCTGGGAAGGTGAAAGGGGGGGGGGGGGTCAGGGGGAGCAGGGACACAGCCTGAGTGGTGTTTTATCTCAGCAGTGCATGTGAGCAGCATTAGTGTGAGTGATGCCAGCTAAGTGACCAGAGAGCACCTTCATCATGCAACCCAGGTTGGTATTATTTCTGCTCCTGAATGCCTCGCACCACCACTCGGGGTCCTACCCACCAACATGGGTCCTACTTCCACTACACAGGTCCTACTCCCCACTACACAGGTCCTACTCCCCACTACACTGGTCCTACTCCCCACTACACTGGTTCTACCTCCACTACACAGGTCCTACCACCACTACACTGGTCCTACTCCCCACTACACTGATCCTACCTCCACTACACAAGTCCTACCACCACTACACAGGTCCTACCTCCACTACACAGGTCCTACCTCCACTACACAGGTCCTACTCACCACTACACAGGTCCTACTCCCCACTACACAGGTCCTACTCCCCACTACACTGGTCCTACCTCCACTACACAGGTCCTACCTCCACTACGCAGGTCCTACCTCCACTACACAGGTCCTACTCCCCCACTACACAGGTCCAACCAACCATTACACTGGTCCTACCTCCACTACACAGGTCCTACTCACCACTACACAGGTCTTACTCCCCACTACACAGTTCCTACTCCCCACTACACTGGTCCTACTCCCCACTACACTGGTCCTACCTCCACTACACAGGTCCTACCACCACTACACAGGTCCTACCCCCCACTACACAAGTCCTACTTCCCACTATACAGGTCCAACCTCCACTAAACAGGTCCTACTCCCCACTACACAGGTCCTACCTCTACTACACAGGTCCTACTCCCCACTACACAGGTCCTACCTCTACTACACAGGTCCTACTCACCACTACACAGGTCCTACTCACCACTACACAGGTCCTACTCCCCACTACACAGGTCCTACTCCCCACTACACAGGTCCTACTCCCCACTACACAGGTCCTACTCCCCACTACACAGGTCCTACTCCCCACTACACTGGTCCTACCTCCACTACACAGGTCCTACCTCCACTACACAGGTCCTACTCACCACTACACAGGTCCTACCTCCACTACACAGGTCCTACCACCACTACACAGGTCCTACCTCCACTACACAGGTCCTACCTCCACTACACAGGTCCTACCACCACTACACAGGTCCTACTCCCCACTACACAGGTCCTACCTCCACTACACAGGTCCTACCTCCACTATACAGGTCCTACCTCCACTATACAGGTCCTACTCCCCACTACACAGGTCCTACCTCCACTACACAGGTCCTACCTCCACTACACTGGTCCAACCTCCACTACACACCTCCACTTTCCCTTGGGAAACAGTGATCATGTCCTCTTGGACATTAAATATGTTTTGCGATATAATCTAGTAGAGAATTGGAACATTGAACCAGTTGTTAAACTCGATTTCAAGAGAGGACACTATGGGAACTTAGACATTTTTTTATGGGTGTAATTGGACAGACTTGTTGCTAGGTAAGTAAGTAAATGAGATGTGTGCCATATTTTGCAAAATATACGATGAAGGCACACAAACATTCATACCAAAACAGAGATGCAGACCCAGGAAACAGGATTGGTTCAACAGAAATTCTGAGAGGGCCAGAGATCAAAAGACACAAGCATGGAATCATTATAGGAAGAGGCCAAACTCCCAAACATATCAGTGATAGAAAGATGCGAAAAACAACTACATGTCAGTAAGGAGAGAGGCAGAGCGGAACTTTGAGAACGGTATAGCAGACAAATGTAAATCAGATCCAGGGCTTTTCTATAAATTCATTAAAAGCAAGCTGCAGGTAAAGGATAATATTCAGAGGTTGAAAATGGGGGACAGATACATGGAAAATGAAAAGGAAATGTGTGAAACATTAAACGAAAAGTTCCAAAGTGTGTTTGTACAAAATGAGATCTTCAGGAAACCAGACGCAATAAGAATTCCAGAGAACAACATAGAACGCATAGAGGTGTCTAGAGACGAAGTGAAACAAATGCTCTTGGAGCTAAGTAAGAACAATGCAGTTGGCTCAGATGGAGTTTCACCATGGGTTCTGAGAGAATGTGCAGTTGAGCTCAGCATACTACTTCGGCTGATTTTTCAGACATCCCTGTGTACAGGAGTTGTAGCAGATTTGTGGAAAAAGGCTAACATAGTTCCAATCTACAAAAGTGGCAGCAGGGAAGACCCCCTCAATTATAGACTTTTATCATTGACGAGTGTAATAGTCAAAATATTGGAAAAAATAATAAAAACTAAATTGGTAAAACACCTGAAGAGAAATAATATATCAGACAGACAGTATGGTTCTCGATCTGGAAGATCCTGTGTATTGAATTTACTCAGTTTCTATGATAGAGCCACAGAGATGTTACAGGAAAGAGATGGTTGGGTTGACTGCATCTAACTGGACCTAAAAAAAGGCTTTCGACAGAGTTCCACATAAGATGTTGTTCTGGAAACCGGAAAATATTGGAGGGGTGACAGGTAAGCTTCTAACATGGATGAAAAATTTTCTAACTGATAGAAAAATGAGGGCAGTAATCAAAGGCAATGTATTGGACTGGAGAAATGTCACAAATGGAGTACCACAGGGTTCAGTTCTTGCACCGGTGATGTTCATTGTCTACATAAATGATCTACCAGTTGGAATACAGAATTAAATGAACATGTTTGCTGATGATGCTAAGATAATAGGAAGGATAAGAAACTTAGATGATTGTCATGCCGTTCAAGAAGACCTGGATAAAATAAGTATATGGAGCACCACTTGGCAAATGGAATTTAATGTGAACAAATGCCATGTTATGGAATGTGGAATAGGTGAACATAGACCCCACACAAAATTATGTGGAAAATCCTTAAAGAATTCTGATAACGAAAGATATCTAGGGGTGGTTCTAGATAGAAAACATCTACTGAGGACCACATAAAGAACATTGTGCGAGGAGCCTATGCCATGCTTTCTAACTTCGGAATTGCTTTTAAATACATGGATGGTGAAATACTAAAGAAATTGTTCACGACTTTTGTTAGGTCAAAGCTCGAATATGCAGCGGTTGTGTGGTGCCCATATCTTAAGAAGCACATCAACAAACTGGAAAAGGTGCAAAGACATGCAACTAAGTGGCTCCCAGAACTGAAGGGCAAGAGCTACGAGGAGAGGTTAGAGGCATTAAATATGCCAAAACTAGAAGACACAAGAAAAAGCGGTGATATGATCACTACGAACAAAATAGTAACAGGAATTGATAAAATCGACAGGGAAGATTTCCTGAGACCTGGAACTTCAAGAACAAGAGGTCATAGATTTAAACTAATTAAAGAAAAATGCAGAATAAATATAAGAAAATTCACTTTTGTAAACAGAGTGGTAGATGGTTGGAACAAGTTAAGTGAGAAGGTGATGGAGGCCAAAACCGTCAGTAGTTTCAAAGCGTTATATGACAAAGAGTGCTGGGTAGACGGGACACCACGAGCGTAGCTCTCATCCTGTAACTACACTTAGGTAATTACAGGTCCTATCTCCACTACACAGGTCCTACTCACCACTACATAGGTCCTACCTCCACTACACTGGTCCTACTCCCCACTACACAGGTCCTACTCCCCACTACACAGGTCCTACTCCCCACTACACAGGTCCTATCTCCACTACACTGGTCCTACCTCCACTACACTGGTCCTACCTCCACTACACAGGTCCTACCTCCACTATGCAGGTCCTACCTCTACTACACAGGTCCTACCTCCACTACACAGGTCCTACCTCCACTAAACAGGTCCTACCTCCACTAAACAGGTCCCTCTCCCCACTACACAGGTCCTACCTCCACTATGCAGGTCCTACCACCACTACACAGGTCCTACCTCCACTACACAGGTCCTACCTCTACTACACAGGTCCTACCTCCACTAAACAGGTCCTACCTCCACTAAACAGGTCCTACCTCCACTACACAGGTCCTACCTCCACTAAACAGGTCCTACCTCCACTAAACAGGTCCTACCTCCACTAAACAGGTCCTACCTCCACTACACTGGTCCTACTCCCCACTACACAGGTCCTACCTCCACTACACTGGTCCTACTCACCACTACTACTACTTTGGTCTTTGAAACTACTTTGTCAGTAGTTTCAAAGCGTTATATGACAAAGAGTGCTGGCAAGACGGGACACCACGAGCGTAGCTCTCATCCTGTAACTACACTTAGGTAATTACTACACAGGTCCTACCTCCACTACACAGGTCCTACCTCCACTACATGGTCCTACCTCCACTACACAGGTCCTACCTCCACTGCACAGGTCCTACCTCCACTACACAGGTCCTACCTCCACTACACAGGTCCTACCTCCACTATGCAGGTCCTCCCTCCACTATGCAGGTCCTACCTCCACTACACAGGTCTTACCTCCACTACACAGGTCTTACCTCCACTACACAGGTCCTACCTCCACTACACTGGTCCTACCTCCACTACACTAGTCCTACCTCCACTACACAGGTCCTACCTCCACTACACAGGTCCTACCTCCACTACACAGGTCCTACCTCCACTACACAGGTCCTACCTCCACTACACAGGTCCTACCTCCACTACACAGGTCCTACCTCCACTACACAGGTCCTACCTCCACTACACAGGTCCTACCTCCACTACACAGGTCCTACCTCCACTACACAGGTCCTACCTCCACTACACAGGTCCTACCTCCACTACACAGGTCCTACCTCCACTATGCAGGTCCTACCTCCACTATGCAGGTCCTACCTCCACTACACAGGTCTTACCTTCACTATGCAGGTCCTACCTCCACTATACCTGGTTGATACCTGGTTGATGGGGTTCTGGGAGTTCTTCTACTCCCAAAGCCCGGCCCAAGGCCAGGCTTGACTTGTGAGAGTTTGGTCCACTAGGCTGTTGCTTGGAGCGGCCCGCAGGCCCACATACCCACTACAGCCCTACACAGGTCCAGGACTATGCAGGTCCTACCTTCACTACACTGGTCTTACTTCCACTACACAGGTCCTACCTCCACTATGCAGGTCCTACCTCCACTACACAGGTCCTACCTCCACTACACAGGTCCTACCTCCACTACACAGGTCCTACCTCCACTACGCAGGTCCTACTTCCCACTACACAGAACCTGTGTAAAGATGCCAACCTCTGAACTGGGGGTGGATAGCCGGCACGGTGATAGGTGTAACGTCATGCTGTTTTGCTCATTTTTAGTTGGGGGGAATTCAGTTGAACAGTTAGGTTGTCAGTAGCAATTTTTTTAACCAGATAGGTTTTGGGGTGCCTACCTTTCTGGGTGCCTGACTCAGTCGATGGCAGTAAGGCTTTTGACATTGTTCCACATGAGAGATTGATTAGGAAAGTAGAGGTGTGGAATTGTTGTGGGTATCTTCTAAACTGGATTAGGGTACGGTAATTACACAGAAACATTAGGTCAGCATACATGAAGTAAATTGAGAGTGGATAACAGTCACAAGTGGAGTGCCCCGAGGTTCTGTTTTGTCTCTTACCATTTCCTACATACATAAATTATTTAGATTAAAAATTCTATGAAATTAATATTTAATGATAAAACTACTAAAATAATATGACACAGTACTAACAACTTGCACTGCCAGGCAAACTCGCATAGATTGAAACAATGCATATATATGGTATACCTGTATATGCAGAAGCCAAGTAAAACTGGGACACAACATGACTGAAGAATTTCCTACATTTATTGACCTCAGTTTAGACTAGGTGTCCAGATGATAACATTTACTCTATAACAATAACTTGACCCACATGTTCTAAAAAACAAATTGCTTGCAGGGTGGTGCTCGTGTTACTGACCGTGGTACTGGCCATACTCGGTGTAAATGAAGCAGCAGTGACCAGACATAATGGCAGAGAAACTCTTAAGCATTACCCTCATAAAGCTGACTTTTATAAAAGCCTGCTCCAAGTATCTGAGCCAAATCCCTTTTTAAAGCAAAGATTAGGTATGCCAAGAATGCAAAACTTTCCTCAAGAATGGCCTTACAATCAACATCAGGTTCAGTCTCTACCAAGAATTGGAATTAATCCAACAAGAGTTCACAGCTTTCCTCAAACAAGGCCTTACAACAGCCAAAAAATTCAGTCTGCTCCATCATACACACACATGTACCAACAAAAACAAGTTAAGAATGATGAACGCTTAAGCCAATCGTATGAGCCCAAGAATCAAGCAAGTACTGTAAAGCACTCAACTACCAAGAAAAATATCAAGAGAGGGATATTTCCTTCAACAAAGAACAATTACAAATATCCTGTAAACCAAGACATTAAACATAGCATCATAAACCCAATGGCAGCAGAGAAAGTGCGAAAACAGTGGGTGCTTCCTCGCACAAGTCTCTGGGCTTCCCGCACATCTCCTTCAAACACTGGCAGGAGATCCAGACAGAGAGGTAATTAAAATATATTTTATTCCTCACACAATTTGAATAGTCACATGCACCAGAACTAATTCTATTCCCCAAATTTTATCTTTCACATTTTAGTGCAAATATGTGACAGCAGCTTTTCTTTATGCCTGTTGAAATCCATAGAAGAATTATCCACAGAATACAGTGCATAAATAAATAAACCAATTACATTGTGTGTAATTAATTATTTGGTTTGAACTTTGCCTTCAGCTGTAGGAAATGCTGAACAAGATTTTAAGATCCATTCAAATAATCAATTTACAGTATAAACCAATTCAAATAGAACACTTCATTCTCAACTACTTTCATTGTATCCAATATACTCAATTGCATCCAATCTTTATATTTCTCAAATGTACTGTATCTTCAAACTGCACCACATACCAAAGAGCCAAAGCTCAACCCCCGCAAGCACAATTAGGTGAGTACTTATGCATATATTTTAAATCAAAACTCACTTGAAAAATTATTACACTTATTTAAAAAAAACTAGAGTTGAATGTAATGAAATGCCATTTTCTGGGTGAGACCTGGAGGCTCCCTAGGGCTATCCAGGCTGATATGAATGTATTAGATCATGGCATCAGTCAAAGCGATTGGAGTTCTTAGCCCTACCGGGGACCACAAGCCAGAACCTGGCCCCCTCAGAGAGGCACGAGGAGCAATTGCCTACAGAAACCCCTGTGTGGTTGGAAGTATTCTATGTCTACCATCGACCGGGTCAAGCACCCAGAAAGGTAGGCGCCCCAAAACAAGCACTATCTGGTTATAAAATTGCTACTGAAAGCTGAACTGGTGGTCAGAACTCAATAAGCTAAAAACAAGCATGACGTCACAACCGTCATCACACAGCTGTCTGTGCAGCTCCCCATTCCCCAGGAGGGGGGGGGGGGGCAGCTCCAGACCTCCCACACTGGCTATCCACCTCCAGGTTGAATGTCAAAAATCGCAAAAAAACTGCCGACTGGAGGGAGGGAGGTTTGCTGGGGAGCCTTTGGGTCTCGCTCAGAAAATGACATTTCATTACATTCAATGCTGATTTTCTGGGGGGGGAGGAGAACCCCTTTGACTCCCTGGAGTTGCTTAACCAAAGATAAAACAAGAGGGACTTACCCGGGAGGCAGTCACCATTCGCTCCTCGACTCAAAGCCAGAAGACAACTGGCTTCATCCGCCGAACCAATTCGACACAGGCCCAACTAGGCCCAGGAACATTAACAAGGTAGCAAGCAGCCAGGATCCTGTTTGACCTCCAAAAACAGCATGCCTGAATGTCAACCCATGACATTTTACCAAAGACGGCGGCCAATGCAGCAAACTTACAAACGTCGTGGGCACGAGGATCGCAGGCTGGCTGGACCGAATAACCCTGAGGACAACCTGGGAGACCCGAACCCTGGAACAGGGAAGAAGGAAAAACGGGTCAACCCAAAGCGCGTCCCCGGCCATGGAGGTCGTGGCGCGCACCTTAACCCTCAAACCGCTCGGGGTCCAAATGGAATTAACACCCACACGCGCAACAAAAAAAAAATTCTAAAATTTTTTTTTTCTTTTTAATCTCTTTATTTGTGTTCCCTGAGCACGGAAAAAATAATAAAAAAAATTTAATTACACTTACCGTGGACGTAAATGACCCGAGAAGATCATCGATGACGTCACACCTGATCTTCGCCTTAACGCTGTGCGCCCGGGGTGAGTCAGGCGCGACGGAGAAGGAGCGCGAGTTGCCGCGAATTTATTTTCGCGTTATTATTTACAGTATCTATGGCGTATTTTACACCCATTTTTTTCACTGGTGTGGTTCAATATGTTCTCACAAGATGATTTATAAACATAAAACTGTTGCCAATGTATATTGTATCCACATATTAGTGTCACAAGTATTTGCACAAAAAACCAGCGTTGAATGTAATGAAACGCCATTTTCTGGGTGAGACCCGGAGGCTCCCCGGAGCTTTACCGGCTGATATGCTAATGTCAGACTTTGGCATCAGTCATGTGTATGGAGTTCTAGGGCCTACCGGGGACCACGAGCCAGAACCTGGCCCCCTCAGAGAGGCAAGGGGAGCAATGGCCTATAGAAACCCCCGTGTGGTTGGAAGCATTCTATGTCTGCCATCGACCGGGTCAAGCATCCAGAAAGGTAAGCATTCCAAAACAAACCCCTATTCTGGTGAAAATTGCTACCCAAGCCGAACTAGTGAATAGAACTCTTCAACAGAAAACACGGAAACTAGTATGACGTCATACGTCACCGCGCCGCTGTCTGCGCAGCTCCCCCCTCCCCGGGAGGGGGAAGGGGGAGCCCCAGACCTCCCACGCCGGCTATCCACCCATCAGTTCTGAGGCTGGATGTCAAAACACGCGAAAAACGCCGACCGGAGGGAGGGAGGGTTGCCGGGGAGCCTCCGGGTCTCACCCAGAAAATGGCGTTTCATTACATTCAACGCTGGTTTTCTGGGGGGAGCCCCGTCGGCTCCCCGGAGCTAACTACCCACAGAGGAAGGTCAAAGGGACAAAACCGGGAGGCGGACACCACGCACCCCCCAAGGAGGCGAGACAACCGGCAGCAAACGCCAACCCAAGGCGCCACAGCCCCGAAAATCCCGGGAACAACACGAGAACCACGAGCAGCAAGGCCCCTGCACGAACACCAAAAATCCATGCCCGAAAGACTGCAAGGCCACGTCGCCCAGACGGCAGCGAGAGCAGCGAAGCCACGAACGCCACAGGCATGAGGGAAGAACACAGGCAGCTTAGCCGCAAGAACACGGCTGACCACCCGGGACACCATCACCCGCGAACCGGGAAGAACAGAACCGGATCAACGCAAAACGCGCTCCGGACCCAAACGCCGTGGCACGCAAACAACAGCAGAGGGCCGCCACTGAACACAAAACGACACACCCCCGGCCCGACCAACAAAGCACCAACAAACCCTGGACCCCTCCAGAATGCAGCAGCCCCACCCCCCGCCAGAAAAGATGGAGACTGCTGCCATCAAACAACCAAAACGCTAAAACCGAAGGAGCAAGAAAACACAGCGAACCGACCCCCAGAGGCAAAGGCCCAAAGGAAAGAGCCGACAAAAAAACACACCGGAACCGAAGGGGCACTACCAACCGAGGAGAAGACAGAGCACGCTGACCAGAGACCAGGATGGTGCAAGCGGCGCACGAACAGGCCGGAGGTGAAATGACGCACAAGACAGCTGACTAACGGTGCAGAAGCAACACCAAGACCGAAAGCAAGCTGAAGCGGCTCCGCCTGCGCCGCACGAAAAGAGGCGACAGTATGTGGCAAGACGACGGCCCCCAACCCCTACTAGAAAACCAAGCCGAGAGTAAACCAAGCCAACAAGAAGGACCCACCGAAGAAGGGACAGGAAAAGGAAGGACCGCCAAAATACCCCATACTGCCGCCAAGAAAGCACGCAGGTGGGACACCTACCACGAAGCCACCTGACCACCAACCGGAGGCGAGACCACGAGGCAGAACATAAGCAGCCCCGACAAGGCCCCCCCGAGCCCAGGAAAAAGGCGGAGCCGCGAGAAGATCTCGGGCGCGACCACCGAAACCCAGGCGGCACAAGGAGATGGAACGTCTGCCGAACAGAAAAACTCCGAAGCATGCAAGCCCGCCAGGAGTTCAGAAACGACGGGTCCGACGCGAGACATCGCAAGAACCCCCCCAAAAAAAGTAAAACAACAACAACCGGCAGGGCAAGCTAGGAAAACCAAAGAAGGCGGAAGGGTCGCCGCCAGAACAGGACCCGAACCAAGGGGCACGAACAACTGCAACAGACCGAGACAAAGAAGCACATCACAGGACACAGGCTGACCAACGCCTAAGAACACACGCAGAACATTCCTGCTGCAGAAGAGGCAGGAAGAAAGAGCAGAAGCACAAAAAAAAAAAAAAAACCAGGAGAACAACCAGGGGTGGACAATCAGGCAGGGACAAAAACCCCACGCAATCCCCAGGCACAAAACGGCAGCAAAGCGCCACTCCACAACCGGACACAGGAACAAGGACACGCCACCGTGAAACACGGTACCAATGCTCACGTGCAGCAGCAGCAGCAACAGGCACCACTGCAACATGCAACATGTAAATAGCAACTCCCCTCTGCAAAGGCAGAGAACGGAGCAGGCAGACCCCAGACAGGGCCAACGGAGACACGACAAAACCCTGCAGGCCCAGAAACCTGCACCAGGCGACCGACGGCGGAGAAAACCCCGCTCGATACCTGCTGGATGAGGTACTGGGAGCTCTTTTACACCTCAAGCCCGGCCCAAGGTCAGGCCAGACCGGCCAGAGGATGGCCCACCAGGCAGCTGCTAGGAGCAGTCCACCGGTCCACATACCCCCACAACCAGGACGGGCCGGAACTGCCATACGAAAACAGGCCAGTGCGCCCTGGAAGTCCACGGACGAACCAGCAAGAAGGCTTATGCTCGCAAGTAGGTCGTGTAACAAGCACAGACCACTGATGGTAATACAGTGTTCCCCAAAAGTGCCAATAGCACCACTGCACTCCACTGGTACTATCCCGCAAGTTCTACCAGATAGGCGGGACCCAAGAGCCAGAGCTCAAATCCTGCAAGCACAGCCAGGAGCCTCACCAGGTGAGTACAGAACCAACCCTACAACCCCCACACCTCACAACATTAAAAAAGGAGGGTCCCCTGAACGACTCCAGCATGGGTTGGACATGCACATGAGGGGGACAGGAAGGGGTGATAAAGGGACAGTCACTGGTGTGCGAACGGTCTCAGTCGTACAAAATTATACCTAAAAAAAACAGGTATATGAACACCGCCGCATCCAGCGCCCGGCCAAAAGACGCCAGACCGCAGAAACTCACCTGGCGAATGGTGGCTCGAACTTGACACGACTCAACCGTGCCCAGAAGAACTTGGGAGCACCGCCAGGTGAAGACGCCAGAGCCGGACCCGCAGGAGAACAGGGAGAGGCGAAGGA